TGTGAAACGTTTTTTTTTTTTTTGTTTTTTTTTTTTTTTTAAAAACAAGCCAATATATTATTATAATCGGGGATCTCCAGTCCTTTGAAGTTTTTCGACAAGCGAAACAATTCTACAGACTAATTATTATTATTATTATTATTATTTTTTTGTTATGTGTATGTTAAGAAAATGAAAGACCTTCCAAGTTGTGCCAAATAAGCGATATCTCCGAAAGATTAATGAAAATGAAACCATTATGCTGATCATTTCAATAGAAACTGGTTCACGAGGACATTTAGATGACCCTCCTTTTTTTTTCTCCTCTTTTTTTTTTTTCCCCCCATAATGATACAAAAAACAAAAAAAACAAAAAACAATGTAGAATCGTGATGTGTTTTTATATATAAAAAGGACTAGTATGATGTTTAATTTTTAACTCTTTTGACTTTCGTTATAGGTCTTGGCTTGTATTCTCTACATATATAAATCTATTGTAACTCATGTTTATGTTTGGTGGACTGATTTATTTTTATCGACTAGGTTGGCCTACTTAAGTCTGTTTTCCATCCCTCCCTTCTTCATTCACGCACACACACTCTTTTTTTTTTTTTTAATTCTTTTCTTTAAGTTAGGTTTTTTTTTTTTTTTTCAATTTTTTTTTTTTAAATCAAAAACCCTAAAAAAAAAAAAAGGAATTCAAAATATCATGTATACGAAAAAAAGCCCAGCCAAATATAGACACTAAGAAAGTTTTCTATCAGACTTTAAAGCTCTGGCAAGGATGATTCAAAAAAAAAAAAAAAAGAATGTTTTTCAAATTTAAGATACTTTTGATAAGCGGTTGACTGGCATGAATTATTCAAGTTACCTGGAAACAAATTATTATTATTTTATATATTTGATCCATGTAGCTTTTCTCTTTGTTATGGCTTGATTTTTTTTTTTTTCACTTTAATTTCCCATATATTTATTGGTCGTAAAGCCTGGTGAGAATGGATACGAAACAACATTAACAATCTTTTTTGCAATGGTTACTTAAATCTTGAATCAATTGAACATAATTTTTTTTTGTTTTTGTTTTTGTTATTAATTGTCTTCCTCCCCCATTCAGATACCCCAGTTTTTTTTTTTTTAAATCTTTTTTGCATGATAGTGAGGCCACTGAAACGCACAGCTTAAAAAACAACTAGCCATTCTTAGCATTATTAAAATTGTGGAGTTCATCGTGCTTGAACTTTTTTTTTTTTTTTTTTCGTGAATTTCTAGTTGATGTTGAATAATTGATATTGTTTTCTTTTTTTTTTTTTTTTTTTGACTTTGAATTGATTTTACTAGTAGACATTGTGATAGGATGTGTGCCTGTAACAATGATACTACTTATTAAACAAGCACGTATAACTATGGTTGTTAAATAGCATTCAAATCATCAAGCAATTTATCTTATGTTTATATTTTATTATTTTGATTTTTTTTTTTTTTTTTAATTTTCAAGTTCAAGCACGTACTAATGTGTTTGTATATGCAATATTGTCGATGGATTTTTTTTTCCCTACACTCAAGTTAAACGTCATAGCGCGGTATTCAGACCCAACATTTAATTATGTTATATTGTTTTTATCGGCTTTTTTTCTTCTTCTTCATCAAATTAAAACGTATATAATTCTTAGAGAGTCAAACTTCCCCACCCCCTTTTCCTTTTCCATGGTCTTTCAATTAGTCATGAAAATAAACAATCTTGTAAATATCCTTTGGAGAGAAATATCAAACAAAAGCAAAAAAGAGACAAAAAAGAAACAAGTTTTAACTTTAGAAATGAATTAGTGGGAAACCACATTAACAAATATAATTAAACAAATCCCTTTTTTTTTTTTTGTTTTTCAAAAATTTACTGAGTCAATACTTATGTACCACAACTTATATATATATATATTATCAGGCATAAATATTCAATCAGAAATATTAATATTCAATCTAAAACGTTTAATATTATTATCATTATTATTTTGGTAAATGCATAATTCAATCATCGTCGTCGTCACCGTAGAGCCCTTTGCCTTACAATACTTTTTTTATTTAAATAAAAAAAAAGGGATCTAAAACGCCTGATATTGTTATTCTACGTGAGTTCAATTTATTCAAAAAAACAAAAAAAAAAGTAAAAAAACCAAAAAAAAAAATTTTTTAAAAATCATCACATTTAATAATCATTTTACAATCAAAAAAACCGTCACTGAAAACGAAGCAGGCAAATACAAAGATCGGGGGTACTCACAGTTAAATCATCAATAATTAAAAAATATATTTTGTATGTTATGATGATGATGATGGGGTTTGGTCTCAGGCTCAAAAAAAAAATAAAATAAATATAAACAGCTAGTATTATTAGTTAGACTGGGAGCCAGTCGATGGTGTAGGTGTCCAGCCTAAAGTATGCAAGCTTCCATATCTATACTGAGTCATGATGGTCTAATGACAAAGTCATGACTTTTATCGAAAAAAAAAATATATGTATATTTTGTACAATTCAAGTCTGATATCGTCTAGACATTTCAATAATAATAATGATCTTTTTTGTTTTTTGTTTGAATAATAAAAAAAAAAAAAGAAACATGTAAACAAGGTTTTTAATTAATTGAGACAGTTAATTGTGATCCGAAAATTCTCCATTCCAACAGCTAATAATTATATTTTCATATTGAGTTTCTTTTTTTTGTGTCGAAACGACAGGTAAAAAAAACAAACAACAACAACCAAATACTAGGCATGGCGTGCATCATGGTGAAATTACATAATCGTATAGAATTCTATTATCTAAGAAACTGATTAGTTTTATTTTTTTTTTTTCTTGCTAATGGGCGATCATTTTGATTGTTTTTATTTATTTTTCTTTTTTTTAAATTGTGATTTCAATGAGCCATCTTTAACAAGTAAAAAATAAAGAAAATTAGTTTGTATTAAGGTCAATTGACAATTTTATTTTATTTTTTTTTTTACATACGACTTAATTTTGATGAAAAAAAAAATAATGAAAGAAAAAAAAAAAATTCAATTTTAAAGTTTATTAAAATTTTATTATTATTAATATTTTTTTTTCTTTTGAGTTTTCAATATATCATCACGCAAATACAATCGATTAGAATAATGATAACATTTATTCACTAAACCAACCATGTCATGATAAAATGGAAATAGAAACCCATTTTCTAATGGCTCATTTTTTTTTTTTTTCATAAACTAGTTTATAAGTACCACAACAATGCCAATTGATAAAAAACTAAAAAAAAAACTAAAACAAAAAGAAAACTATTGTCTTCCAAACTATTGTTCTCAGCTCGGTTGTTTTTGTTTTATAACACTACATATATACGGAATAATTTGGTAAGTTTTTTTTTTTTTTTTTTTTTTTTTTTGAAAATTAGTAAACAATAAAAAAAAGACTTAATTACTCTAATTAACCAATCTGTCAACACACAAAAAAAAAAAAGAATTCGGTTAAAAAAGTATACAGAAATTTGAAGTATCTTTTTCAGGAAAGTTTGACTTGAATATATACGTATATAGTTGAAATTCATCAATTCTTTAAAAGAAAAAAAAAAAATTACATAAAACGTAATCGATTCAATATCTTTTTTTTTGCAAATCTTTGTTATTAATATTTTATTGATTATTATTATTATTATTATTATTATTATTATTATTATTATTATTATTATTATTATTATTATTAATTAATTATTATTATTAGTTATTATTATTATTATTATTATTATATTATTTTATTATTATTATTATTATTATTATTATTATTATTATTATTATTAATTATTATTATCATTTTAATTACTTAATTATGTTATGTAAGGACAATAAACAGATTTTCTATCTAAAATAAAATCAATGACTAGGATGGTAGTAAAAGCAACCGTATATATAATATATGTATATTTATATGCCGTCATGAATCAAGAGTATGTGTATAGCTTTGTTCAGTCAATTTGCTTCACAAAATAGTTTTTTTTTCTTTATCTAAAAAACAAGAAATCAACAAAAAAAACAACATAGATAGACAATCTAGAATTGGGGCTATGAGGTCGAGTTGGTTGAGAGACTGACAAGATCGGCTAAGGTCGCGGGTTCGGGTCTCCGTTAAGTGCAAATCCTTTTGCAATGCAAACTATTCGCTCTCATAGAGTCACATGACCTCACTGCTAGGCTGAAACTCGCTTGAGACCAGCTTACCGAAAGAGAAGAGAGAAGGGGAGGGGGGGGGAGCCTCCTTGAACGCCCAAACGAAGAGGGCCTTAGCGGCTCATGAGAAAAATTTCTGGCCTTTTCCCGGAATTTGCCGCGTGCCTACGGTTACAGGCGCGTTACAAATTGCCTCAGACCCCCAGAGAGTAAAGTCTGGGTATCTTGTCAGTATGTAATTTTACACCTAGACAACCTGAATAAACAAAGATAGTAATAATATAAACCTTCCTAATGAAGGGGGTGGTGGTGGTTATATCTTTTTTTTTTTTCATCAAGGGTCGGGTCTACCAATTAATTTTTTTTTTTTTTTTTATCTTTTTCTGTCATGACCAAATAGATAATAAAAAAACTGTTTATTGTTCTTACATACCTGAAATAATAATAATATCATGAACGGATATTCATGATTATTCGTTATTGCTTTATTTGAGCAAACCAGGTATTAAATACCATGGATACAGTCTTTTTTTTTTTTTTTTTGTTGAAATACCATTTTCTTTTTCTGACCATGGTCAATCGCGAAACCACTCTCATATTTGCATCCAAAGAGTTAGGTTGATCAAGGAGTGACACTTTTTTTTTTTTTTAATAAACTAAGCAAAGCTTGACTGCCTAAATACCATTTCATAATTCTGTCTTTTTTTGAAAGATTGGATGCTTTTAACATCGTCCCCAGAACGTTAACAAAATAAAAATTAGCATTATCAAGCTTAAAGTAGCGTTTTACGATATGATGAGCCATAAAACATTTTGAAAAAAAAAATACAGCTTTGTTAGCTCAGTTGGTAGAGCGTAAGTCTCATGTGTACTTATTTAATAGCGTCATCTGAAGGTCGAGAGTTCTAGCCTCTCACACGTAGCAAAATCTTTTTTGTGTGATTTAATATGAAACCTTTCAATCTTTAAAAAATAAAAATAAAAAAATGTGGAAATGAAAAATCAACGATTAACAACCCACCACGCACACTAAAAGAGACCAAAAAAAAAAAAAAAAAGAAAAAAAAAAAAAAGTAGGACCACAAATCATTAAATATTAAAAACTTGGCGTAGAACAATAAAATGCACATGGAAGATGTAAACCTTTTGAGGGGGGCTTTTGCAAGTCGTAAAATAAACGGTGTTTAATAGAAAACTTTATGTAATAATTTTTACTTTGTACAGCCATTGGAATTGTTTTTTTTTTCAGATAGAAATTCTGTATACAAATGATTTATATCAATTTTTTTTTTATATATATAATGTCGATAACAATTGACATAAAGCTATTAAAGTTAATATTATTGTTTAAAAATCTACTAAATATGTTGATTGTTATACACTGTTTTATTTCACAAGCTTTTTGGAAAAAAAAAAAATAAGTTTGTATTGCATTACTGCACAGCTACACGCAGCCGAAAAAAAAAAAAAAAAAAAAAAAAAAAACAATCATAGTTGACTATTACGCACATGCAAGCACCCCTTATTATATTGCTTTCTCCAGTGAATGTGGACTACTGGGGAGGAGGGTATTTGTCAATCTGAATAAAACAAAAACACAAATACAACCATCAATTTGTTTATAAATTCATATCAGCGAAATGGCAATTTGTTGATATGATGTTGGGTTTTATATTTTGTTAACATGATATTGCTATTTACAGGCAACATTCATCCCCCCCAAAAAGACAACTTTTATATTTGCGTGTCGTGTTAAATTACTACTTGAGAGTAAAGCTATATGTAGATGAGTCTATAATACTTTATTTTATAACAAGTTCCTTTTTTTTGGGTACTGCAATGCTGACATAATTGTGAGTTTAGATATTTTCCTTCATTTGAAATATATTCACATCTCACTTATTCTCTTTTTTTATTCTATTGATTCAAATAGTATATACGTCATAAATATTTTTTTTCTTTTTTTATTTTAAAAACATTTACTTGGTCTTTAAGCCCGTAAAGAATATACATGATTTATCAATTATAATTCTTATAAAAAAACAAACAAAAATAAAAACAATCTGTCTTAACATTGCGAGTTGGTCTAGAATCACGGACAAAATTGCTATGAATGCCATAAAGCTGCAACAGGGGTTTTAACTAGTAGCCAATATTAGTGCTAGCTTTAAACGGTCTAGGCCTCTTGACAAAAACAAAAAAACTTAAAATCATCAACTAAACGAGCCTGGCTTTTTTTTTTTTTTTTTTTTGATGGATTCAAGCTGACACAAAGACACACACAGTTCCAGGCACGCAAAAAATAAAGCAAACGGTGTTTTCCCATTTCATACAGATACATGTTTGGTATTTAAAATAAAAAAAAAAAAGGAGTTTAGTCCTAACTTGGAAACCTTGACACTTTTTTTTTTTTTTTTTCTTTTGTGGATTCACACACAAGTCTAGTTTACGGGACCATGCTTGCATCACATTATGTGTGTTATAAAAAAGAAAAAAAAAAAAGGTTAAAATAATAATAATAATTGATAATACTCAATTTGACATTGTTATCATTGAATACAAAAAATCTTTAAAAAGTAAAAACTCTGTGATTAGAACATAGCAATTCAGGTGTTTTTTTTTACTACGTGTTTGTCCAAATACAATTGTTTAGACTTTTTTCATAGACAATAAATCTGTACAAGTTTTACTTTTTTTTTTTTTTTTTTTTTTTCTTTTTAGGGGTGTGTGAATAAATGGTTGGTTGTCACTGTCGTAGACGGGACAAACCAAGGAATCATGTCATGTAGTATGTACGCTTTATGGTTGTGAATATTATTTTTTTTTGTCAATACAAAAAAGTGAATTTATTTTCATGGGACTTGAAATAATATAGTTTTAAGCAGCTGTAACTAAAACTGAAGAAGAAGAAGAAAAAAACCATCTTGAGAAAATTCAAAAATTAACATTATCATACACTTTCTAGAAAACTATGATAAGTTGTAAAGAAAAGACATCAAGTTTATACAACTAAACTAAATAGCTATGCTACACGCTCCGTACACAAAATCCAACTCCAATTGATTTGATGATGGCGGCAAAACTGTCCACACATTTTATACCTGAGCGACAAGAACAAACAAAAAAAAAAAACCTTTCTCGCTAGAATTGATACTGCAGTTTGCTACTAGTTCCAAGTAAAAAAAAACAAAAAAAAACACAAAACTGGTAAAATACATATTGACAGGCTATGATGCTTGAGCTAACCATCAGTTGAAAAAAAAAAAAAAGTTCAGTTAGTAAATATAAAAGCGTGACTTCCAACTCATTGCTAACTTTTTTTTTTTTTTTTGAACTTGATAGAACATTAAGATTAATCTTTTGAAGCATATATTTAAAGTATTTTACGTGCTCTCTAATTGCAGGAAGCGCAATTTTTTAAGCAATGGTACTCAACTATTTCAAGGCTAGCCATATTCACGTTGATGGGCTCTTTTTTTTTTTTTTTTTTTTTTTAATAATTGATACCTTTTAAAAAATTAAATTTTATGTGTACCATGACACAGTTTGTATCCGTATTTTATATTTCCTAGGTTAAAGCAGATTTACTTTTGTGTTTTGATTTTTTTTTTTTTTTTTTTTTTGTAGAGGACTATATTTGTCTAGGTCTAGTTAGTAATAGTAGCAAATAAAAGGCTGCTAAAATCAATATGTTTATATTGTATTGTGCTACAACTGTTGTATGATTTCATTTTGTCGAAACAAAAGGTCTTATCTGTATGATTATAATCTATTTAGTCAAAATACACATCAACAGAAAAACAAAAATGGTTTGTTGAAATAAAACTAAAAAAACAAGTTGAGTCTGATAATTTTTTTGTTACAAGACTGTAACAAGTCCGTAATAAAAAAAAAATAATTGGAAAATAAATTTTTTTTAAATGCCATTGCAGCTTTGAAAAATAGATCAAGTAAAATTAACTATATATATATATATATCTATTTTTTGCGGATAAATTTTATTACATCTTTTCAAGACTTTGTTTCAATTGTTTGTGATAAGTAGTTTTTATTTCATTTTTGATAAAAGCCAACCAACAAGAAAGAAAAAAAAAAAAAAAAAAAACTCAAAGTCTCATGTAGTTTCATAATAAGACAAGGGGGAGCACACACACTAAGGACTGTATAAATTGTGCATTGAAATTAGCTTATTCCTTTTTTTTTTTTTTTTTTTTAGTAATTCTGTAAATACATTAAATTTATTTTGGTTTGCTGGTTTCAGCTAACAAAAAAAAAAAAATAATAATAATTGACCAAAAAATGTACTCAATGCCTGAAACGCCGAGGTACAAATGATTGGGCTATTGGCAGAACGTTATATATAAAAACAAGGCACAAGTATTAACAAAATAATAAAGTTCAATTGCAAATTAGCTACTTTACTATTATTACGTTATTTTGATAACTAACTTTTTTTTGTTTTTTTTTGTTCACAAATACAAGGGCTTTCATCTTATTACTAACGACAGCAAAAAAACAACTTTTACTTACTTTTGAAAGCCATGCAATATTGTAGTTATCGGATTGGAAAGCTCAAGTTTAGGTAATAAAACCAATTAACAATAACATAAAACAAAAATAAATTTATTTTTAAGCTGCTATATATCTTTCATTTTTACTATTATAATCTAAGAAGCCGTAGCAGTATATTAAAATCTAAATAATTTTACAGGTTCTTTTTTTTTTTTTTTTTTTTTGGTTGTTTACAGTTTAATGATAATCAAAAAAAATACAAATTCATACACTTATATACAAAATCTCATCAATTGCATTAGTATTATGAGATATCAAAAACATGAAACAAAAAAAAAAAAAATAGTATCGGTTACATTTTCAAGACTTTTTTTTTGTAATATATAGCTTATATAGCTTATTAATTATACCACATATGAAAAAAAAATATATATATATATATATAATAAACAAAGTATATTGTATATCATTTATTTGTAAACATTGGTATAAAAAAACTAATTTTGAATATAATTATTATATCTTTTTTTTTTTTGGTTCTTATTTTCATATTATATTACCAATTTATAAAACTTGAACATTATTGATAGTATTACATATCCTAGGCTAAAAATAATAAATAAAATAAAATAATAATAATAATAATAAAAATAATAATAATAAAATAATAATGATATAAATAATGATAATAATATGATAATATGAATAATATAATAATATAATAATAATAATAATAATAATAATAAATATTAAATTAATATTCATTTAAAAAAAAAAAAATAAAAAACAAAAATATTTAATGATTCTAAAAACCAAAAAAAAAATAATAAAATAATAATAATAATAATAATAATAAATAATAATGTAATAATAATAATAATAATAATAGTAATAAGTAAAAAGAAATATAAAATAACTATCATCTTTAGGTCACCATAAAGACTGATATTCTGCAATCGACCTTTTCACAAGCTTTCAATTAGATAGAAAATCTGTTTATTTTTTTTTTTTTTAGATAGAAAAAGCTTTTACTTGAATCTTTTTTTTTTTCACATCTCAATATTGCCCTGGATTGACTGAAAATTCTTGTCTCCAGCTGTTAATTAACCAGAGACCTCTTACTAAAAACATCTCTTCAAAGTAAAAAAAAAAAAAAAAAAAAAAAAAAAACGTCGGAAAGTGATAATCCACAATAGTTCTCGTAAGTATTCTTTTATAAGAACCATCAACAGCAATGTCTATCCAAAAGATTAAAAACGTCTTGGTTTTTCAGAGACATACAATAAATTGTAGCTCTAGATTTGTTTTTATGGGGTCACACTGAGAATCTCAGTGCAGTTGGTTTTGCCAATTTTTTTTTTTTTTTCTTTCTTCCAAACTTGTATTCCTGACAAGACACCTCGCTAAATTAAA